ATTGCCACTATACCCTTACTAGACTTATTTCCTTGTTTCTCAACACACGGGTTTTGTGGTCAGTTATAGCTTTTGGAGTTTCCAAAAAATTCAGTTTGTCATCCAACTTAATCCCCGAAAGTGGTATTGCCATACTAGGATCAGCAAGGCATTTTCTTAGGTTTGACACATGGAAAGTATTGTGAATCAGTCTAAGTTCCTCTGGTAATTCCACTTGGTAAGCTACTGGCCCAACTCGTTTACAGATTCTGAATGGACCAATATATCTTGGAATGAGTTTACCTTTCTTTCCAAACCTCATAACTCCTTTCCAGGGAGAAACTTTCAACATTAGTAAATCATTCACGCAAAATTCAATTGATTTTATGTGCTTATATGCGTAACTTTTCTAACGATCTTGAGTTGTTTTAATTCTTTCCCGAATCTGATCAATCTTTTCAGAAGTTACTTGCACAATTTTAGGACCTGTTAGTTGTTTCTCACCTACCTCATTCCAACATACAGGGTTCAGAATTTCCGACCATACAACACTTCATATGGAGCCGCTTTGATGCTGGAATGATAGCTATTATTGTATACAAATTCTATTAGTCGAAGATGATCTTCCCATGATCCTCCAAAATCTATGATGCAAGCTCTTAGCATATCTTCAAGTGTCTRAATTGTTCTTTCACTTTGTTCGTCTGTTCTAGAAAACAGCTTTTCACCAAGCTCTTTCTATACCCACATCATTAAAACTTTACAGTTCACTATTCATAAATATAGAAGTTTTGGGTAATAGACTCACAGTTATAATCAAAGAACAATTTAAAACTCATAATTTATATGAGCAATTTAAACCTCACCTTTGTTTTCAACAGTTTCTGCGGACACAGATCAAACAACAAGTTCTTTTTGCTAAACAAAATCTTCTCACGCCTTTGAAATAGCAGCTTCTTTTCAAGAATCTCACAAGTTCTTTCTAAAATGATAGAGATAAGGATAGCCTTATCTTTATTTTCTTTTTATATCCCGCTTAGGCGGTGGAAGGATTTTATTTATAAAATATTAACTAGGCGGTGGCACTATTATTATAATAAAATCAATGCTTAAGGGTGAAGATACCTTAT